ATAGTCGGCCAATCAGAAATATAGGCAATTGTGATGTTGGTTGCTTTTACGATCGCTTGGTCCCTTAAATCGAATCGGGGTACCCACTATCTATGAGTCCACCCAGTTTTATTTGCTTACATCGGTCAATTCCATCAAAGCAGCCATCCTCAAGGACAACTCGTCGACTTTAAAGATCTCAAAGGGTTTAAGCCAGCTAACCTCATCTGGTCGCGGGCCCCACATTCTAGAGGATCTTTGATGTCGGCATCGCTTGGATCTCAACCGTAGGATTTTAAATAATCCTTAGTACTATCTATAGCATTCTCCCTATTTATAATAGCATGCAACCTACATTTCCATATCCTGCAAAGTAAGCAAAGTCAAAGTTCATGCAGCTTGGGAGGAAGTGGGCACGAAAGTGAATACGATATCATCTTCTGCATCCTCATCGGAGAAGATAGCATCGAAAGAAGAATCGATCGAAGTAGTTCCTTTACAAGAAGAGCCTCTAGAAATCTTCTATGAGTCAGAGTCGTTAGCTACATATACAACCTCGTAGGATAATTGGTCAATGATTAAGTGGGAAGAATCAGATTAGAAGATATTTCTAACCTAACTAAGGGAGAGGAGTCATCACTCCCAGAATTTTTAGACAAACTTATGGGATTATCATTCATATTGGCTATGATAAAGGAAATGTTGAGGAAATTAAAAAGCTTGAGGTAAGGAAGGTACCTTGGAAAAACAGAATCTGACAAGAAAGGTGTAGTTCAAATGGAAGGGTGGAAGCTTTGTTCAAAGAATGGCAATCACTTTGAAAAATACTTCTGGACAAGAAGAAGTTAAAATGTTATCAAGTATAAATTGATTATCAAGGGAAGCAAAAATTTCTCTCAAATCTCAATAACCCTTATACATAGATGTGGGAAATTAGCATACCAGATCAGCGAGAGTGAGAGGTTGAAAGATCAACGATAAGATTTCTCCTAGGGAATGTAAACGAACTCAAATGTACTCAAGTGCACTATGAGGAAGCGTCATACCCTAAGTTGATCACCTAAATCCACACATAAGAGAAAATCAATAAAATGTTCGATTATGTGAAAGCATTTAATACGCTGGTTTCCCACTAATTTTGTAACTGATCCAAACGTTCCCACTTCTTTCTATGGACGGATATCATTCCTAGAATCTATCCACGATTCTGAAGACTTCCTCGACTATTTTTACCCAGCTAAGCCACGGTGGCTATTGTTTTAGGACGTCCGAAGGCCAAAGAAAATGCCCAATCAAGTGCAATCCCAATCAAAATAATTCAACATATAATTTCAGCACACATGAGGTTAAAGGTACACTTTTCACTATACTCATCTTCGACTTTGAACTGACTGGGAGTTAGAGTACTAACCTTGCAGGTCCACTTCAGGTCACCACATCAGAGATCAGCACCACCGATCCAGGTTCATCTATCACAAATCAACATTGATTTTGGTTTCAGAACGAAACATGCACGCTTAGGCATGCTCACACACACACAAACACGCGTGCGCGCGCTCACACACGATTTCATATATTTATTAATAATTTCAAATAATATTAAAATAAATATACTCATTTAAAATAACTATGTATAAATATATTACATGAGATCAATTATCACAAAAATGTAATGGCTTAGGTAAAGCGCTATAGGTATATCCCTATTGTGTATGGGTTTGATATTTCCTCGGTTCTTTGGATGAATTTTGCTACAATAAATCATGTCGGTTGAATGTTGATTCTAGTTTATTTGATTTTTCTTAAGACTTTTTCCACTATAAATTAGTGTCTAACTCTTCTAGAGGGAGCTGATTCTCGTCTTGACTCAACTTGAGAGGCCTGGTAAATCTTGTCTTTAAGTGGCTTCATTCTTGGAGGCATAGGTTTTTTAGTTTAGGGTGAGTTATCCTACTTAATTATGTTATTAAATTCATCATGATTTTCTTCTTATCCTTCTTAAAATGAGATTTTTTTGGGATGGGGTTAAAGACGATTATAATATTGTTTGGGCTAGTTGGTATTATGTGTGTAAACCTAAGAAATATAGTTTAGGGATTTGATATTTATGTCTAGTTAACTTAGCTCTATTGAGTAAGTGGAGGTGGAGGTTGATCTCAAGTGCAATAGACCTATGGGGTGGATATTCTATCTACCTACAAATCCTACATTGTTTATTCTTTCTTGGAGGGAGATCATCGCTCTCACACCTATACTCCACCAGGTGGAAAGATGTTTCTTGTTTGTGTATTAATGTTAATGATTCTTCGAATTAGTTTATAGCGCTTATAAATAAAGTAGGGAGCGGTCTTCTAATTTTCTTTTGGGATGATCCTTGGGTTGGTTCTATCTGCCTTAGTATTAGATTCCCTTGGCTTTTTAGTATCTCAAGTTAGATTGGTATGACTATTGTCAAAGTTAGGGTTTGGGTCGATAGAGTCTTTATTTGGAATCTAAGATGAAGGAGAGCTTTATTTATTAATGAGCAGGAGATGATCAATATTATTTTCATTTGTATTCACGATGTGCTTCTCTCTTAGAATCTCAATTGTTGGTATTGAAAACATGTCAGAAATGGTGTATTTTCGGTTGCCTCAACTCGCTCTACCCTTCTTGAGCTTAACCATCCCCTTATTTTCTTTTCTAGTATAGCAGGTTTGATCATTCCTCTTATTCGGGGGAGCTAGGCCCCTTTGCAAGATAAGATTTCTACTAAGTTAAATCTTTTGATGAGAATGGTGATTTTTATCTTGAGGGTGTGGGTGTCCTATGCGTCGGGGTCGGTTGAGTCAGATTCTTATATCTTTGTAACTTGTGAGTTGGGTTAGTAAGATTGTCTTCATTAGATTCTTTGGCGAAGTGTTTTTAATGCTTTCTAGAATATTTTTTGATGGGGTTTCCGAGCGGCGGAGATCTAAACTTTTTTTTTATTGCCTGATGCATTTTTCATTGCTTATTTGATATTCTAGGATATGTTTTTTATGACTTATTATTTTTGTCTTTATTGTTGTTTTTGTTATAGTAGTTTGCTTTTTTATTGATGTATTGAAGTACTTTATTTGTGGTGGTGGCTTGTTTTAGTACTTTACCCTAACTTCTTTGCTATTTATACTTTGGACATCTTTTACCATCTTCATTCTATATAAACATATTATTTTCCTTAAAAAAACAAAATACAATCCTAGTCTTACGGATAATTTCAATAAAAGAAAAAAAAAAATCCAATAAATACAGTAATATTATTTTGCCAATAGTATTTTTCTTGTATTGAAATCATCTAGTAGTTGAATAAGAACTCCACTTCGAATGAGGGTGTGAAGGTTCTACGGTCTACATATCCAGTGTAATTATAGAGTAAGATTGGACCTAAAGTTAAAAACTTTTAGATTGAACAAACTATTGAAGGGTCTCTCCTAGACTCCTACATTAGTTTTTGTTGGGTACCAAAAGAGAGATGATGTCATCAAAATTAACGAGCAGTGTGGGACTTACTAGGGCAGGATGGGTAGAGTGGCGGCCTTAACTAAGGACTTCACTTATCTTTCACTTAGACCGACTAGATATAATGTGTCGACTTATATGACGTAGTGTGTTGTTCGATCACGTGTGTGGTCTTGTATGGTAAATCTTGGTGAATTAAGAAATCTAAAGTGTGGTCCTTGTGTAAAATATGTATCTAACCTAACTACTCATGAATTATTTTAAGTGAGCTATTATTTATCCCAAAAAAAGTGAAATATTTCAAGATAATTTGAGGAAGATACTAGGTTCGTAGAATACAATTGAATCCGTGATAGATAGCATGTGTACTACTGTGGTTATTTCGTATGGAATGGAACATGAGGTTAGCGGTACTTGAATAAGTGAATGATATATGTCAATGGATATTATGGTATATGGCTTAAAATTGACAGCACTCACAATGAGTCTTAGACCGGTAATCTATCTAGTCATGTATCCTACCAAAGCTACCTCAAAATGGATCAAAATCCATAATCAAACAGTACCAAGCATCACATTTTACCAGAACACGAAAACAAACTTAGCATGAACTTCAACTGCAAAGGTAGATCAAATAGCATGGAAAAGGACATTCATAACAAGGTAAATTATCTCTTAACCATTTATTTAATTGAAAATAACAGTACTGCTAACATGCAGTAACAGTACTAACATGCAGTAACATCTGTAAATGTAACAAACGGAAACACCAACTAGACCCGCCAAAACATATGGCAGTTAAAAGCCAAAACTGAATTCTCTGGAGGTTCTAATGTCTTCAGGTTCACGGCTCTCATCCAGAAACTTTTCATTAAAAATAAAACACTAAACAAAGGTTCCAACAATATCCCAATTTCCATAGTTCATCCTCAAATGCAAGGCCATATGCAACCTCTCATGTTTCACGGCTCTTATACCAGAAATTGGAAAGAAAAGGGAAGGAAAAAAAACTTAACAAAGGGTCCAACAATACTCCAAATTCCATAATACTTCCTCGCACACCACCTGCTTGCATGAGTGACAGACACATTAACCTGTAGAAAATGAACACGTGTTAGCAACAGAACTACACAATTGAACCACATTGAACAGATCATGGAACAAAAGAATTTAGCATAACCAAATGTGAAAAACAACTATCTAAAATTAGAATAGCATCATTAATATAAATCATGTATCTTGGTCAAATAAAGTTTTAAACACAATACAAATAATGTCAAAATTGAAGCACCCAGTTAAAAGACAACCAATATGATACATGATTTTGGTTAGGCACTGCACTATCATTTTATCCTAAAGAGAAATGAATTACAGCATTGTCTTTGATGAGGGAGATAAATTTGTTCCAATGAACAGTTTCAAAACTCTAGTCAGAAAGCAGGATCCAAATTGTCAACTGTAAATAGGAAAGTAAAAAAGTCTGGTTACTCACCATAGCTACTCATCAAACTTTGTAAAAACAACCCATGTAACTACCGTGGTCACCGGCAATAAAATGCTTGATCAATGTGTGGCGGAATTTGCTTTATTTCAGTGCCAAGTTCTTGTTCAATCCTATATCTGAACAAAAGATGGAACACATCAGCAACCTACAGCCAGAACCTATAAAACTTATTTAACACCAACTACATTACATACAAATTAAAGCGGTCCTCATAAGTGATCAAGTTCACCGCTAAACCAAGGTGGCCAAATCTCCCTGAACGACCAACCTATCAAAAGCAGAATATCCGTCAGAACATGTACATGTAATTGATACAAAAAAAAAGGGAAAATTGGATTCAAAGTGAGCAGAAATCGAACATACCCTGTGCAAATAAGTTTCCGAGTTCTTGGGAAAATCAAAGTTTATAACAACATTAACGGCTTGGATGTCTATACCCCTAGTAAAAAGATCTGTGAATGTTTCACACAAAGAAAAATGAAAGTTTAAATTATTAGAACAGTATATAAATGTAAAATTTCACCATCAGCTTATACACATAATAAACAAAAGGTTCCTTAACATACACAATGTCACTTGATGTACATAGTAAACTACAATAAACAATATGTGAAGAGTACAACTATTGATTATTGAATTCATTTAGAAATCAAAAGGAATGAAGATATGTCAAAATAAAGGAAACAAGAACCCCAAATAACTAGGTACTGAAAACAAATATATTGTACATTAAATATCATTCCAAGCAACTTACAAGAAGAAAAACTGCCAATTTACAAGAGGTTGCTAAAGTGTCAGCAACATACCAGTACAGACAAGATTTCGGCATGCACCATTACGGAAATCATGAAATACTCTATTACGATGGTCTTGCAGCATCTTTGCATGAATATAGAAACATGAATACCCCAGTTCAGTGATTTTCTTGGCAAGGAGTTCAACCCGATTCACTGAGTTGCAGAAGATAATTGACTGGTTTATTTGTAGCTGGAAAAGAAACTACTATTATTAGCATCATAATATTCACAGATGGCATATAAGAAAATTAAGAGGACAAAAAAATCAAACCTTAGAAAAGAGAGTATTTAAACAGTGGACTTTCTGTCTCTCTTCCACAAATGCATAAAATTGTGTAATACCCTTCAGAGTGAGCTCATCCATAAGGTTAATGACATATGGTTTGTTAAGAAACCTATCTTTGAAGTCCTTCACAGTAACAGGATAGGTTGCTGAAAACATCAGGATTTGACGGTTTGTTGGAAGAAAATGAATCAGTTGTTGAATCGAAGGCTGGAACTCTGGGGAGAGAAGCTTATCAGCCTGAGGAAACACAGAAAGCTATGAAAAACTGCAGAGTGATAACTGTAACTACTCGACAATGCCATGATGAAAAAGCTACGGATATTTAAACAAAAAAGAAGATATCAGTAAACAGAGGCATTAGCTTCAAACATCGGCTGACAATATTTAGAATGTGGATCTCTCTAATCCTAGCAAATCATACACAAATGCACAGAAACATAGTTCTACATCAAGTCATACTTGTCTGATTGAATCCAATTATGTTTCCAGCCCTCATTTTTCTAAATCTCTTTAGATATGTGAAATGTTTTTCACATAGTTGATGTTTCTCAACAGGATTCTATAAACGAATAAACTCAGGTGTAATATATTTACCTCATCCATAACCAGCATTGAGCAATGCTTAAGAATGCAAACACCCTTCTTCGTAAGATCCAATATCCTTCCTGGGGTACCGACAAGCAGGTGAACTGGTTGATATAAGCGCATTATGTCATCTTTTAGACTGGTACCTCCTGTTGTAACCATAACTTGGATTTTCAAATGCTTTCCAAGCTCTTTACACACTTGAGATGTTTGCAAAGCCAACTCACGTGTTGGGACCAAGATAACAACTGTGTCATAATACAAACAGTATAGTCAAAACATGGGCAGAGCATATCATTATGCTTTCTTTAAAACACAAATCCTAAAGATATACGGATAAAAAGAAAACCACCTACAAAATAATATTACTTTCAAATTATAGTTGGCAAGAATCTATCTGCATCACAAAATATCTTCTTAAAAGAAACAACTCATCAACAAGATATCAGTTTGATTGAAGAAATTTTCAAAATTGTTATGAAAACGAACTGAGCTCTTAAATCCTAACATCAAAATACATAATATTAATTGCAAAAGATATTATGAATTTATCATACTGCTGTTGGTCTTTTACGTCAGACAAAAGTCTAAGACTAACAAATATGCACTTTAATCATTTTCAGGAGAAGAGCAAAAGCCAAAGTAAGACATCTTGAAACCAAATTGATGCTCTTTGAAGACCATACAATTGCGGAACCTAACCTGTCACAAGTTACATTTTTCTTCTCTTTTTTATTTAGCAGGATACTGCTCAGAATCAGTATCAGGCTACCAGGATGCGTTATAAAACTAACACATCATTATATACAGTCCTTTCAACTAGATTTCTTAGAATCACGTAAAGCACCTTAAGGGAAGAGAATGTCAAACCTTGAATAACATTATTATCCTGATCAATTTTTTCCAATGCAGGAATGCAAAATGCAGCTGTTTTGCCAGTTCCGTTCTTAGCCCTGGCAAGAATATCACTGCCAGTAAGAGCAATTGGAATGCTTTCTTCTTGGATGGGGGAAGGTCTTTCAAAACCCTTCTCATATATTCCCATGAGCAGCTCCCGTTTCAAAAAGTAATCCTCAAATTCATTTCCTTTAGTTGCTGTAACATCCTGGGAACAATAAACGCAGAGCAACAAGATAAGTGTTACAAACTAGAATTAAAAGTTAATGATGAACGACCCAATAATCAAAGAAGCTTTAATGACTAATCCATGAATGATATCATTTATTAGGCATTTTAAGTAGACAAAAGATAAGGCAGCTCACTTTTCACAGCCTTCATGTAAACTAATCCATGAATAAAATAACAACACAACCAAGCCTTATCGCACTAAGTGGGGTCGGCTACATGGATCAATTTCCGCCATAATGTTATACCCAGGACCTTGCTTTTATCTAAATTGTTAAGCTCGAGATCTTTCTTAATAAAATCATGTAACAAAAAAATAATTTGACAAGTTGTAAGATGAGAGAATTAGAAATAATTCAGTAGCTGTCAGGGAATATGATGATTAAAAAAAGAATGTTGCCTATGGATAAGGACAATGAGAGGTGTCTTGTCAACTAAGAGAGCAAGAGCCTTCACGAATTGGGGGGTCAGACCAATGAATTAATGCAATGTATTCTATATACTGTAATAAGGGGAATTCTACCCTAATTCTTCCAATGAAGACAATAGTTTCAATCAACTAGAATCAGAGTAATCTCTGGTCAGAAATAGAATTCAGGGTTGATCGAACAAAAATGGAGTTGAAATGAAATCAGTGGAGCCCATCTTGCAAGATTAAGATACAGTGGTAAGGAATTTAAACACTGAAACTATTATAATCTAAACTACTGGGTTTAACTCATAAGGAAATTAAGTAATTCAGTACAAGTTTTAACCTTCTATTTAGGGCTGGCAATGAACCAAACCAACTCGAAGATAGTTCGGAATTCGACTCGACAATTAAATCGTTGAACTAGGTTCATGAACCAAATGAGTTGAGTATGAGCGAAAAATTAAGTTCGTTAACTAAATGAGCTGAACTTGAACTATACATAGTTCGACTCGTTAGGTTCATGAGTCAACTCGATTACATATGAAAAGAATTATACTGTCTTTAAGATTAGGTTTAAATATTTACTTCAAATCTTAGACAAATTTAATCTTCAATTTATTAGTTTTTGAATTAGACTCTCAAATGTATCTCTTGAAAGTTTGTGTAGGTTTTGAATTAGTAGATTTCGAAGATAAAGTTAAATTTCAATATGATAACTTTTATTTTATTTTAATATTTTATTTTAAAAATATATATTTATTTAAAATGTCAAATATACTAAAAAATATATATTTTTTAAAAAATAGTTTTTAAGTTCGTGAACCATGTGAGCTGAACCTAATGAGATGAACCTAACAAGTCGAACCGAACTGTTCGTGAACTTATAACGAGTCGAGTTTGAGCTTAAAAAAAAGTTCGTGTCGAACTCGAACTCGAACTCGAATTCGAACAATTCTTAACGAGTCGAGCCGAGCTGAGGTGAGTTCGACTCGACTCGACTCATTTCCAGCCCTACTTCTATTCAATAATTTCAAGGTCTTTTTCCTCTTAAATCTATGTTAATAATATATTAATAATACAATTTAACTTATCTGCGTCTAGGGAAGGCAAAACGGGCCTGGCCAGCAGGCATGCCTGTTTTGCCTGCAATTTTTTGCAGGCTGAGGCAAGAATTTAGGCCTGCGCCTTGAACTATGCCCTCTCTGTCCTGTTTTTTGCGGACTTTGCCAAGCACGGGCATGACTTTTTCCATTTTTAGGCTTTATGGGTGCCGTGGCTGTCAGGCCCGCCCCGCGCCCGTTTTCCGGCAGGGCGGGCCTAAGTTTCCAGTTCACCCCCTCTACTATGCCCGCCCTTCCCCATTTTTTCACAAGCTTTTGTAGGGCGGATCTAGACGGGGGTGGCATGCTCGTTTGCCATTCCTAGCTGCACCCTATGATTTTGGAAACTACCACCACCCCGTGCTTGAATCTATGGCTGGAACATAATAGTATACGTGGAACATAGCCTATAAATGACGAGGAGGATTAAAAGGAGAGGCATGTTGTAATTTGTTGAGTCAGGGCCTTCACGTATTGGCATGTGCAGACCCTAAGCTCTCCAGTGTAATAAGGGGAATTCTTCCCTGAATAGTCAAATTAACATACAAGTATCTATCATAATCACACCGCACATGGAAATCCAAAACACGATTTCTGGTAAATGCCGTTGATATCTCCTGGATCTTTGGACAGTATAAATAGTTAAAGTAGTTTGTAAGTTCTATAAGAGTGATTGAACTTTAAATACCTTACAACAGATTGTAAATGCCTAATGGAGTACAGGGCACCCAAGGCATAAATCAATCAACAAAATATTAAAATTAAGTTATAGTTCCAAAAGGATCTATATCACGATCAGAAATATTATAATTCAGTTATAGTTCCAAAAGGATCTAAATCAAGATAAATTTATAAAATAAATGCATATAACCAGAAACTTGATGTATTAGATAGCATAAAAGTATTCATAAATATTAACATACCTCTGTCCTATAGCGTGTATCAGCTGGTGGAATCTTTAGTCCGGCCTTCCAGTCTTGAGAACTAACATAGGGAAACCAAAAACATTAAGGATAACAGGAGAACAACTTATTTCCATTTGAAAGAATATAACCACTAAAATAAAGCTTCATCCAATAGTATAACTAAATTTCATTGAGCCAATTTCCAAACTATAACAAACTCATAATACATCACTCCATAAAATAAAACATCAGAATTGGAATAAGGAAGCCAAGATTCAGCACAATATCATCAACTGACATTTGAATCGGAGTATAAGCATACAAAAGATTGCAAGGGTATAACAGGTTCGGGAAAAATAAAGCAATTCATATATCAAATTAAAGCACCAAAACCATGGTCTTCAACAGAAAAAAAAAAGTAACAAAGGATGCTTCTTTACATGGTTTAGCCTTATATCGCTATTGCATAAACTTCAAACTATAGAGATATTGTAGAAAAATATGAAAACCATAAGCCCAATTAAAAATTCTAGACATGTACCTCTGTACATTTTATCAAAGAACGGCCGTGACAGATCTATGTTAACTACAATGGTCAATTTGTGGAGGATGGCAGTATCATGGTTATTAATGGCTGAATAGCAGTTAAAAATAGCATGATTATGGCTTTCCTCCGTGGTTCACCATCTGCAAACGATAACACTGCATTTCATAACCATCTCTCTCTCTTAACTAATGTTGTATTGAATGTTTTAATTTTAAATCACTAACAGTGTATTATTTGTTTTATCATTATTATTTTTCCTTTTTTAAGATGCTTGGTGCTGTTGCATTATGTTTAACTCTTTTCTCCAGACGAGACTTTAGTGTATTGGGTCACATACCTAGCCTTAGTTTGAAAGAACTAGCACGTGGGAGATTGAGGTGATTCATGTTAACCTTGACCACTACAGTAGTACAAAGTACATGATAGAAGAACACAGCACAGAGAAGCCACACCGAAAAATGCCTTGTGGAATAGCAGATCACGGTAAGCTGGTCATAGGGTGCACATGACAGTATATAAATGGTGGCATTGGCATGTCTTGTTCCTACTGTTAAATTTTAATAATAAATAATAATATTTCTTTCTTTAATAAAAACAATAATAATCACCACAACAAAAGTTTTATAAAGCCTTGCAAATAAAAAAATCTAACAAACACAACTAAATGCAAAAGGAAATTTATTGCCTCAAAAACAGAAAGTGGCATCAAACTTTCTTGATTTTTTCCATCACTATGGCTCATTACTTGCAGATGATATAGTCCTACTTAGATGGGGTCGAGAGAGAAATTAAATGAAAGGTTGGAGACATCCCTTAGAAGCAAATGGTTTTGGCGTGAGTAGAAGTTAGACAGAATATATGGAATGTAATACTAGCGAAAGGTGAAGCGTTTCTAACTTCGCGGTGAAAGTTGAAGAACATATCATACCACAAGTTACATGGTTTAAATTTCTTCAGTCCATAGTACAAAAGCAACAGAGAAATAGAAAGAGTTGTGAAGCATCGAATTAAAGTTGGATGGTCGAAATGGAGGAGGACCTTAAGTGTTTACGAGATACAAAAGTACCGCTCAAACTGAAGGGGATTATTTATTGAACAGCTGTAAGACCGACAATATTGTATCGGACATACTGTTGGGCTGTAAACAACTAACACAAATAAATTAAGTGCAACAGATATGAGGATGTTGCAGTGGATGTGTATTGAGAGATTAGACGAGATATGACTAGAAATGACAACATCAGAGGAAAAGTTAGGGTAACACCTATAGTAGAAAAGATGGTGAAAACTAAGCTTAAATGGTTTAAACATGTATAGAGAAGAATTTTGGATTTTGTAGTAAGGAGAGTATATTAGATGGAGGGTAAACAAACCGCTAGAGATAGGGAGAGACCTACAAAAACTATACGTAAAACATTATGGCACCATTTGATCCATTGAACTGACCTAACTTAGTGGGATAAGGCTTGATTGTTGTTGTTAAAGTGTTGAGAAGCATAAATGAGTCAAAATTTAAAAAGTAAAATTGTGAACTAACGCAAATAAAAAACGGAAAATATCATTTATTACCAAAACCAAGAAGATTGTCGTAATTTAGTTCAAAAAAACTGCATATAAAAGTCAGATATTAAGATACATTTATCAAATGCACTAGTAAAAGTGTTAACATGCATAAATCAGTCAAAAGTACATTCATGAATTTTTGCAAACAAAGAAATGACAGCCTATTGATTGCCAAAATCCAAGTAAATCGATGAAAATTACCCCAATAATAGAAGTAACTCAAAACATAAGATGCATTTATCAATTGCATTAGTGTAAGTGTTGACAAGCATAAATAAGTTGAAACCAAAACCGTACAATCTTGAATTTTGCAAACAGAAAAGGACAACATTGATTACCAGATGCAAGATTGATGTAATATACCCAATAAGTATCAACAAATATAAGTCATGATTTAAAATGCATTTTTCAATTGCATTAGTTAAAGTGTTAACAAGCATAAATAAGTCAAATGTCTAAAATTACACTTGTGATTTAACACACAAAATCAGACAACATAACTGGTTACCAAAACCAGGAACTCTTCAATTGCATTAGTTAAAGTGTTAACAAGCATAAATAAGTCAAATCTCTAAAACTACACTTTTGATTTATCACACACACAAAAACAAACAACATTGATTTACCAAAACCGGAAAGATTGACGCAAACTACGGTGATGCTGTTTCCTTTTGGGATGAATTGTCTATTTGATTGTTAGCACGGTGAAAATTTTCCAGATAGCTGTCCAACAAGACAGCAATTCACGTAAAATGCGGAAAAAAGTTCCATGCATTTTTTTCCTGAAAAAAAGGCACGGACAGCAGCACATAGAGATTGAAGGCCATCACCAGAACTTCATAAACAGGCTAAATGAGCAACGAACTCTCTCCAATCCAAAAGCAGGAGTGATCCAAATAAGATCAATTCGACCTAGATGCATCAACTGTAACAGCAGCAACTAATCAAGTCACACAGTTTATGCTGTAACTGCTGTTGCGTCGTGGAAATTGGAATAGCCATGGTGAAAAGGCCGCGGCTCCACTCCAACTCTGAGACAGCACGATAGCGACCAATACCAATGCCATTAGATTTCTCTTTTAAAAAAATTAAGATTGTTTTTATCCTTTTTTCTATTATCTAATACACTGGCGCAAAACTTCAAACCTAATAATCATCAAGCCAACAAGCCAGAAACCAAATAACTCAGCACAACAAAAGCTAACAAGTTGGAAAATACACAAATCTATTGTTACGATATTCTATGTGAAACACTTAACAGCTCCCTCACCAATGTAACTAAACATACTGATAACATATCATCTCATCAGAACCAAAACCATATTCCTAACAATGAAACATATCACAATCATAGACTCTTATACTAAAAACAAAATCAAAAAGCACACAAACCTTGAGTCAATGGCTTCAGACTGCACGGTCTTCTCGACCTCGTCAGCAGCGTTGGATTCCGAACCACCCAACTGTGCCCTTCTCAGCCACTGTTGTTGCTGTTGCTGATGATGTTGCTGATGTTGCTGCTGCTGATGTTGCTGCTGGTGTTGCTGCACCATTTGCCTCTGCGCATAGTACTGTTGCTGCTGGTGTTGTGGCTGGTGCTGTTGCGCCTGGTGGTGTTGCTGCTGGTTATGGTGGTGGTAAGGCGGTCTTTGCTGAACCTGATTGTTCAGGTTGGGGTACTGGTTCGGGTTCTGGTTCAGATTCACGTTGGGATTCGCTCCTCCGCGTCCAGGAGCGATCCCGGGAGGTGGATATCTCGCTCTATTGTTGTTGTTCATCGCGCCGATTGAAAAACCCTAAAACTCAAACCTAGAAAAAACGGCGAAAGAAAATTTCCAATGTACAGAAATGCTACGAATCTAAACCTGAGAGCGAAAAAACTGAGTTAGGGTTCGGTATATATATCGTACAAAAAGCGAGTGAGAGGATTAGGTTATGAATTTCTTTCCTTCTGTGAAAGGAAAAAAAATAGAGGGAAAATGTGAATTTCCTTGTGTAGATCTAAGTAGAGGAGAGAGACGGATTTTGAGAGGAAAATTTTGACGGGAGAGAAAAATGAAATGAGACGGAGAAGAAATATCGAAGTAGGTTTTGGTTTCTATTGGGATTTTTTTCTCCTCGGAAATTTTTGTGTTTGAGGGGTTGGAGTTGGAGGAAGAAGAAACCGAAAGAATGGAGAAAGGAAGGTGTGAAGGCTCTTGTTGTTCAAGCTCTAGGGCGTAGAAAGTGTTTTTTTCATTATTGCTTTATGACCCCTTTTTTAGTTTTTGTTTTGTGAAGTTCCCCATTTTGGTTCTCTCTCTTGTGTCATCTAGTCCAATGTTTCATGCTTTTTGGCCTTGGAGTGAAATATTCAAATTATTAATTAATATAATCATAATGACTTTAAATCATTGCAATATATGTGGTCACTCTCACTCCTACTATGGACTTCTTCATTGAAAAATTTATTGGACATTTGTGAAAATAAAAAAGATAAAAGACATAGTTTAAAATAGCAAGCCTATAATAATATTGAATTTTATAGGTTTTTTTATCTTTGTGCTAACAATGGAAAATTGGAGAATTGTAAAACCCATCGATTCATTAGATCGAAGTGTGTGAGAAAGAAAGTTTCATGAGATTTTTAATAGAGAAGTTGAGCAGTATCTATTTCTTTAATGATAGATTTGCTAAGTAAGAAATCACCTAATCTTTTAGATTTAAAAATTTATTAAAGTCAAAAGTTTTAATAAAAATTTGTTTGTTTGATTTTTTCTCGAAAAAAAGATGATGAAAAGTAATTGAAAATGGGATTTAGAGCTTTGAGAGGAACTTGGTCACCATTGGAAAAATCTTCTATGACAAACAATGTTTGAATATGAATAGGTGTAGGAGGGAGTTATGGGCACAAGTATATGATCTTCCACACAAAAATCAAGTTGAATGTCATGGCGAGAAAATTAGGATAAGTAATATGGAGTTTTATGGAGGTGGATAACAAAGAAGGATATTTGATTAGGGGTGTTTCTAAGATTTTTAAATAGCTATTGATTTGTAAAAGTTTGGATATGAGAACTGTGAGATGTTGGATCGAACTTTAGTATGGTCGAAGTCTGTTCGCAAGTAATGCGTGTTGTAGTAGAGGTTTGTTCTAACATGCATTAGTCAATATTGCTAGGGTTGTTAGCATGTTGAATTGGGCTTTGCTTGTAAGCCCAATTGTTTAAGTTAGCTTGTACCCTAAGTTGGCTTGTAATGGGTAATTGTTAAAAAGCCCATTAGGTTAGTATGCTATTTTATTATAAATAGGATGTTAGTTTCTCAATCTTGACATAAGGAAAAATAGGAAGATAAAATCCTAATTTCAAGGTAGAGAGGTTATTTTGTTATTCTTGTATACTTGTAATCTTGTTCTAAGAGAAAGGAAAGAATAGCAGTTTAATAACCAATCCTTGTTGTTTTCTTCTTTATTAACCCTAACCCTTGTGTGTTTCTTGCAAAGAAATTGTTTATACTTTGTTTAAAGGTATCTGATTCACAACAAATTTGTGTGGTGAGCGTGGAGAAGATGCCTTCAACAAAGTATGAGATTGAAAAGTTCACCGGAGTGAACGACTTCGGTCTGTGGCGCTTGAAGATGAAAGCCCTATTGGTTCAGCAGGGTTGTTTAGAAGCGTTGAAGAGTGAGGCAGCCATGGACGATGCGTTAACGGCAAAAGAAAAGACGGGCATGATCGAGAAAGCCCACAGCGCAATATTGTTGAGCCTTGGTGATAAGGTTCTTCGACAGGTATCAAAGAAGACTACAGCATCGGGATTATGGGTGAAACTTGAAAGTTTGTACATGACCAAATCTCTGGTGAATCGACTCTACCTGAAGCAAGCTTTATTTTCATTCAAGATGAGTGAAGACAAAGTGTTGGCTGAGCAGTTGGATATGTTCAACAAGCTGATTCTTGATCTTGAAAATATTGATGTGAAGATTGATGATGAAGATCAAGCACTGTTGCTGTTGTGTGCTTTGCCCAGAACACATGCTCACTTCAAAGAAACTCTCTTGTATGGAAGGGAGTCCCTGACCTTTGAAGAAGTTCAATCGGCCTTGTATTCTAAGGAATTAAACGAACGAAAGGAGCATAAACCTTCGACGGTGGGTGAAGGTTTGGCCGTTAAGGGAAAATTCGTGCGAAAGGATGGTAAGTTCGACAAGAAGAAAGGTAAAGTCAACATAAGTCTTATAGTGGTGAAACATCTAGTATTCGATGTTATCACTATAAGAAGGAGGGTCACATAAGAAAGGTGTGCCCTGAACGCCTGAAAGATCATGGAGGTAATGGCAATGCAACCATTGTTCAAGATGACTTCGACTCATCTGTTGTTCTTGTGGTTTTAAGTGGCGACTCGAGGAAATAGTGGATTATGGATTCAGGTTGCACTTGGCACATGACTCCAAACAGAGATTTGTTCGAGGAGCTATGTGATCAAGATGGTGGATCTGTGCTGCTGGGAAACAACAAATCTTGCAAATTTACAGGTATTGGATCTGTGAGATTCAAGTTTCATGATGAGTCAATAAGGTTACTGACTGAAGTCAGGTACGTACCTGACTTGAAGAGAAATTTGATTTCTCTTGGTGAATTCGACAGAAAAGGATACATTTTCAAGGAGAGAAAAGTATCCTAAGAGTCATGAAGGGGTCGAAGAAAGTCTTGAGAGGCGTGAAGAAACAAGGCTTGTATACCCTTGAGGCTGAGGTTGTAAGTGGTTCGACAAATGTTGCATCCACAAAACTTATGTCGAAGACAAAATTATGGCACATGAGATTGGGCCATGTCAGCGAAAGAGGCCTGGTCGAATTGGGGAAGCAGAACCTGCTAGGAGGTGACAAAGTCGAAAATTTGGAATTCTGTGAATCTTGTGTATTTGGTAAATCTTGTAGGGAGAAGTTTAACAAAGGCAAGCAAAGAACACATGGATCCCTAAATTACATTCATGCTAATCTTTGGGGAACTGCAAGGAATCCTTCACACTCAGGTGCAAGGTATTTTCTATTCATCGTTAATGACTATTCCAGAAAGTTATGGGTATTCATTCAGAAGACGGAGGATGAAACTTTTGAGAATTTCAAAAGTTGGAAGATTCTTGTCGAAACTCAAACTGGCAGAAAGGTTAAGAGGTTGAGAACCGACAATGGCCTTGAATTCTGCAACAAAACGTTCAACAGTTATTGTGTTGAGTCTGGGATTGCAAGGCATAAGACTGTAGCAGGTACTCCTCAACAAAATGGCTTAGCTGAGAGATTCAATCGAATAATCCTTGAAAGGGTTAGATGCATGTTGGTTAGTGTTGGATTGAAGAAGGTGTTTTGGGCGGAAGTTGTTTCGACAGCAGCTTACCTGATAAATAGATGTCCCTCGACTGCCTTGGGAATGAAGACACCTGAAGAAGTTTGGTCGGGACATCCACCTAGTCTCGACAAACTGAGAGTATTTGGTTGTGTGGCCTATACTCATATTAGGCAAGACAAGGTCGAACCTAGAGCTCTGAAATGCATGTTCATGGGATACTCTGAAGGAGTCAAAGCTTATAGGCTATGGTGCCTAGAGCCAGGTCACAGGAGGTGTATCACCAGTCGAGATGTAGTTTTCAATGAAGCAGAGATGACTTTCAAGAAAAATGATGATGCTGACGAAGAGCTGGAACAGGGAGAGATTCTTGTTGAGGTGGAGCATGTTGATGTTGAGTTTCTTACCCCATATGAAGTCGAAGAAGACGTAGAAGATGTTGTCGAAGATGAGGAGACTGATAATGACTACCTGCTAGCAAGAGACAGGTTGAAGAGAGTCATCAAGCCACCTCAGAGACTTGGGTATGCAGATCTTATAGCTTATGCCTTAATCTCTGCTAGTGAGGTTCTAAATGAAGAACCTAGAGACTATAAGGAAGTTATGAGGAGTCGAAAGAAGACTGAATGAATAAAGGTCATGGATGATGAGATGAAATCTCTTCATGATAAAAACACCTGGGAACTGATCAAGAAACCTATTGGAGCTAGGTTAGTCAGCTGTAAATGGATTTTCAAAGTTAAGGAAGGAATCGAAGAAGTGACGTCGAAGAGATACAAGGCAAGATTGGTTGCTAGGGGGTTCACTCAGAAATAAGGTATTGACTTCAATGATGTGTTCTCTCCTGTTATGAAGCACAGATCCATTCGAATGTTGCTTGCCATAGTGGCCCAGTTCAACCTTGAACTGGAATAGATGGATGTGAAGACTGTGTTTTTGTATGGTAATCTAGATGAAACAATCCTGAAGGGTATGTAGAAAGGGGGAAGGAAAATTATGTGTGCAAACTGAATAGATCTTTATATGGACTGAAACAATCTCCTCGACAGTGGAATAGGAGATTCGACAAGTTTATTGCACACATAAAATTCATCAAAAGCCAGTTCGACCACTGTGTTTACTTCAGATTTCGACCGGGTAATTCATTTGTTATTTTGTTGCTCTGTGGATGATATTCTAATAGCAAGCAACAATGTCGGAGAGGTAATGAGGGTGAAGGCTGAACTCAATAAAGAGTTTGACATGAAGGATCTGGGAGCTGCGTCTAGGATTTTTGGGATTGACATTCGGAGAGATAGAAAGCAGTCGAAATTATGTTTATCTCAAGAGGCATACCTACAAAAGATTCTCGAAAAGTTTGGTATGTCGAATTCAAAGCCTGTTGTGAGTCCGACAAACCCTCAATTTAAGCTGAGTATAGATCAGTGTCCCAGCACTGATGTTGAAAGAAC